ATCTTGAATTGTAACTGAAAAAGACTTTTAAAGAGACTTTTTTAAATGGATGACAATGGAATGGTAACCCTATATGGAATGGATTACCCTGGTGGGGCACCAGTGTGGGATAACCGGTGAGACTGAAAAGGCAGGCCAGTTAGCCCACCGTGATGAATACATCTAGAATTCAACACGATGGTTTCCAGTGGAGACCACGTGGAGGTCGACCTGACAGGGTATATTGCTAGCAACGCGACTGGTAGTCCGCATTACTAACAAACCCTTCCCCTTTAAAATAGACTGCACATAGATACATACATACAAACATACATAAATAATTCAAAACAATAATGGTAAAAGTAAGCGATCGCAAGGACGGCGCACGCGCAAGGTGAACGACCTACCTATACTGTTATAAACGTACTACCACACAAGCGCTTTATGACCGGTTTTTAAAGCAAATTTATGGCTACATACAAATCAATCAGGATACTATAGTTTAACGTTTGGAAAGCTGCAAACGGAACCCTAATATTCCCTAATATTCTTTTATACCACTGAGGTGGTAAAGCATACAGCCCACCTGATGATAAGCGGTTACCGTAGCCTATTAACGCCTGCAATACCAACGGCATTACGCGCGCGTTGACAACCCTGAAGATACCTCTTTATCCCTTTTTTGAAGAACCCCATGCTGCAGTCTCTTGGAAAAACCTCGACAGGTAGCTCATTCCATAACCCATTACTGGGGGGGAAAGGGATTGTTAGCATTGGAAACTAAGAATCCCATTGCTAGCAATATACCCAACCAGGTCGACCTCCTCGCAGTTCTCCCTGGAAACTATCATGGTTAATGCCTGATGAATTCATCACGATGGGCTAACTGGCCTGTTTTCATTCTCATCTATCGCTCTTCACTGGTGCTCCGCCAGCGTATCCCGTTAGCGCGGGCGGGGTTACCATACCATTTCCACCCATAAAAAAAAAATAACCCATTACTCGATATGTAATATTTAATCAAATCGAATCAGTCAATAGTTACTAGATATAGAAACAGTCTACAAGCAAAACCAAGTTATTTTTATTTCAAAACTAAACTACTGTACCGATTTTGATGAAATCTCTACTCTATACGACCGTTCTGAAAATATATCATTTCGGATAAACAAAAAAAAAAATATTAAAAATCGGTTTATGTACGACAAAGTTATGTTACCTTCTAAACTTAATACAATCGAATTGGAAGTCGGTTAAAAACATATGTATGTGTTAATTTTCTAAATTGACCCGTCCGGGTGTCGAATCCGGGTCTTCGTTTACAATCGGCGTCCATATCATTACACTAAGAAGGGTAAACGGGCCAAACTGTTTATTCTTACATCGGCTCCACTATAAGTACTTAATTAGCTATTCTTTGAACATACACATTAGGGCCTTTGTACATCGACTGGAAGGTATACGAAGTAATTGTAAATTGAAATTATTATATCTTATATATAAAATTCTCGTGTCGCGGTGTTTGTTACCAAACTCCTCCGAAACGGCTTTATCGATTTTTATCAAATTTTGTGTGCATATTGGGTAGGTCCGAGAATCGGCCAACGTCTATTTTTCATACCCCTCAATGATAAGGGTGACCCACCTCAAAAAAAATATTTTTTTGACAAATTTTTCCATTTTTATTTTATTATAATTTAGCATTGAAAAATATATACAACCTCAAATTTTCACTGTTTGTTTGTTAATCGCGATTTTTATATTTCGCAATAAGTGGTAAAACAACGTTTACGGGGTCAGCTATATATATATATATATATATATATATATATATATATATATATATATATTACATATATATATATATATATATATATATATATATATATATATATATATATATTATTTATTACAGTAAAACTTACAGTAACAACAATAAGTTAAGTGGCATAGGAAGTAATGAGTGGGCAGTAGTAGTGCTAAACAGAAGTTAAAATAAATAATCAATTATATGCAATAGACGTCATCGAGAGACTGTTACCGCTAGATGGCGATGTACAGTAGAAAATACGGTGGAAATAATTTAGCTACTTCCAAAACTGTGAAGTACTTTATATTATTCTCAATTTCGTGTATAATATAGTATATGTGGTATTACTTTAAAAGATAGAGTAAGAAACAGTGTGATTAGAGAGAAGTGTGGACTGAAAGACGATGTAGTGACAAAAATCGAAAAAGGAATGTTGCGTTGGTTTGGTCATTTGGAGAGGATGGATGAAAGAAGAATTACGAAAGAGATTTATCGAGCGAGAATGAATGGAGATGTCGCTAGGGCTCGCCCTAGACGGACGTATGTCGACCAAATAGGCGACGTGCTGAAGAAGGGCCAAATTAAAAGTACCCGTAACCGACGAGCGTGTATGACAAGATTGATGAATGTGGAAGAAGCGAAAGAGGTTTGTTTGAATCGAAGCATTTGGCGTTCCATTGTTTCTGCCTACCCTAATGGGAGACAGGCGTGACAGATATGTATGTATGTATGTATAGTATATGTCATATATGTGTAAGTATATTTGTTATTCATATATATTTATTCGTTTATATATGTAATTTTAGTACGTATGTATATCAATAATTACTAGTACCGCATTCGTGTATTCTGACACTTCCCTACGGTTGACTGGGAGAGAATGCTTTTAGCATTAAGTCCGCCATGTACATACATATATATGTACTAATGAATAAATAAATAAGTTCTCAATTAATTACAATTGTTTTATGAATGGAATATGTGAGAATAGAAACTAATTTTGGATGTAATTTCCAAAAGAAAAATTCTTTGTTTAAACAATTCTGAATCAATTTTTGTTTAAAAAAAACTGAGTAATAGCCGAGTTTCTTGCCCGTTCTCAGCTGAAATTGCATTTCGAATGAACAATAGAATCATAACAAATTACTTGGTTAATAAAAAATTCTTAAAATTGAAGTTTACTTAAATGAACATTATTTTTCATCATCATCATCACCTGCCATCACCATTCTGCACTTATCTCAGTTACTTAATATTATTTTATTTACAAAACCCATAGTTTTGCGAAGATTATAAGTTGACTTTTACTTTTGCGATGTTTTATGTTTTTATCTTAATCTCTTTCAATAAAGTCGTGTCGTGTCGTGCCGTGTCGTGTCAAGCGCTCAATATGAAACAGCCCTTACAACAAACCTTACGGTGAGATTACATGTACATACAGACAAACAATAGGCCTCTAATTCAATGAAACAGCAATCATTTCCTAGCATTGTTAAAAAAAATATACAAATACTATATTTGTACGGTCAACGTCAGTCTTTGAATGCATTTATATTATATAATTTATATAACATGTCATTATATATTTTTTTCCCCGTTTTAGTTCTTTCACACTTTGTCTCGTTATTGTGTATTATATAATTATATATATATATATATATATATATATATATATATATATATATATATATATATGCCTAAATGTACGTTATGTATTTTATATACACTAGTGGAAAGAATTAAGGGATAAAAAAAAGCCAAATTTTGTTGAGGTTTTTCAAGTAGCTGTATTTCCTTTAAGTAAACCATCTTTTAGTCAACCTTGAGACTTTAAAAGGAAAGGAAAGTGTCTACAGGGTTTGTATATAAAGCATAACATATATATATATATATATATATATATATATATATATATATATAGCTACTGTCTTTTTTTTCTCCTCTACCTTAAAATTGTCTTAAAGAGATTGCTTTAGCGATAAGACCGCCTTCTGTACTTCATATGTGTATATATATATATTTGTATTATTCTTTAAGTGCTGCAATCAAGAGTAAATAAATAAAATAATATTTAAAAATATCTATACCATAAGAATAAATATGCTGTCCCCATAGACAATAAAGCATACACAACAGACAGCAACTTTCCGAACGGTGCAGTAGATTTGAAAAAGAAAAAAACACGTTTTAAAATTGCTTGTAAACAAGTCTATTTGAAAAATATAAAAAATAAAAAAATATAAAAAAAAAGAGATAATTTGATTTTATATTTGACAAATGTCAAATAAATTTATCAATAGAATCAATCCTATTAAAAAAACACAAAATAAAAAAAAAAACTGCCAAGTCTCGCAATAGACACTACAATAATTAAGATTGTGTTCCGCAAATAAAAACTTTTTTTTTATACAACTCAAATGAATGGCAAACAAGCTGACGGCCCACCTGATGGAAAGTGGTAACGGTCGCCTATAGACATGAGCAGTACCATGGACGTAACAGAGTATACTGTTTCGCCAATGATACCCCCCATGCGTTGCCATTCCTGAGGACTCAGGTGTTATTCCTCTGTACCCAGTAAATTCACTGCCATATCCCACCCTTCAAACCGAAACACAGCCATGCAATCACAACTGCTTCACGGTTGAAACATGAATGGGACAGAGGTACCCAAGCAATCGACTTTTGTACAGTAGTGGCAAAAACCAGTTGTTTTAGTTTAAAAATTAAATTATTCAATCGATTTTGAGAAAATTTCAATGTAACGACTCTGTAAATATGGCCTTTCAAATAAAAAATTGCCACGTTGCCACGCTTGACAGGTGGATTGACAACCGCAGTTAGGCTTTTTTTTAATAAATGATAATGGAATGGTAACCTCGCCTGCGTTATCGGTTTACACTGGCGGGGCACCATTGAAGGATGATAAGTGAGGATGAAAAGACAGGTCAGTTAGTCCATCGTGATGATTACACTTGGAATTCAGCATGATGGTTTCCAGGGGGGACCATGGGGAGGTCTCCTTGGTTGGGTATATTGTTAGCAATAGGGTCCGCAGTTAGGCTTTGGAGATGTTTTAAGAAGGACGCTGCTGGCCATCCCTCGCCCTCCCTTGGTCGCCACCTACGACACCCACGGGAAAGGAAGGGGTGGCCTATTCCATGCCGGGAGCACATGCAATGTATTTCATGTTGTCTGTAAATTGTTTCAGGTCGCGTTGGTACCATGAAGCGATCCCGGCGAAGGTGGCTGGGGCTCAGTTTGTTTTGTAAGTATTTACACATTATTTTTAATCATAACTAGCTGTCTTCTAGTGCCGTTGTCCACGTAAATCGGTTTACAAAATAGTTTGAGATATATATATATATATATATATATATATATATATATATATATATATATATATATATATATATGTGTGTGTGTGTTGATATATATAGATAGATACTCTTTATTGTTTCCTCCAAAAGATTACAATAGTAAACTTATTATAAATATAAACAATTACAAGAAATAATCACAATGAGAAAACAATGGGCGACCTTATCGCTAAGAGCGATCTATATATTACGTAGTTTCCTTTCAAACATTATAAAACTGTGACATTTTATTTGTCCTTGACTTATCACGCAAAATTATATGCATCTCCGTCTATTTCAAATTGACCTATTGTAAATTTGAATGTATTATTATTAAATAGCTATATTCCTCGGTTCCACCCCCCCCCCCTCCTCAACCAGTACATAAAGTATCCTATATACTAAGTTAGGATGTAACCTGCCCGTGTACTAAGTTTTATTTAAATCCATTTAGTAGTTTTTGTATGAAAGAGTAACAAACATCCATCAATCGTTACAAACATTTACATTTATCAAAGAAAGTATAGATTTATGTAAAAAAAAAAATTCCAAACCATTGTTAAAACGCTATGTACTAATAAACAAGAGGGAGACTTTGTATAAAAGTCGATTGCTTGGGCACCTCTGCCTCATTCGTGTTTCAACCGTGAAGCAGCTGTGTTTGCATGGCTGCGTTTCGGTTTGAAGGGTGGGATATGGCGTGAATTTACAGGGTACAGGGGAATAACACCTGAGTCCTCAGGAATGGCAACGCATGGGGGGTATCTTGGGCGAAACAGTATACTCTGTTATGTCCACGGTACTGCTCATGTCTATAGGCGACGGTTACCACTTTCCATCAGGTGGGCCGTCAGCTTGTTTGCCATTTTAAGTTGTATAAAAAAACAAACTTACACATTTATATTAATCATCATCATCATCATTTCAGCCATTATTGACCATTGCTGAATATAGAATACCCCATAGACAGGTATAAGGGACAATCCTGAATCACCTGCGTTCATTGACCGCCTACAATGCATTTGAAGTCGTCACTCCATCTAGTGGAGGAGCGGCCTAAACTGAATTTGCCAGTACGGGGTCGGGATCACCTCTTACTTTATTTCTTTAAACTTTATTCACCAATAAAATGTTGTACAAAAGGCGGACTTAATATTATAGAGCTGTGTTTCCCAACCTTTTTTGTGGCATATTTTGTGGCAAGTGGGGCATACTTGAACATTTCTAAAATTTTTATGCCCCCATACATAATTTTTCCCGACAAAGTTTACTTGACGACTCTAATCGCCCAGTTGATATTTTGGTAACGTCAAATGAAATTATACCTAATAAATATTTACAGCGTTTTTTTAAATTCACTTTTTTTGTTAAATTTGGCACCGATATGTTTTCGTAGTATTGCATTTAAATGGCCCGGAGCAAGAGGGTTAAAATCGCTTCGAGTCCATTTTTCTATTGCCCCACTTAACTATCAAATTGCCCTCCTGCGGGGCGTGGGCCCCACGTTGGGAAACACCGCTATAGACTTTCACCAGTCAACCTTTAGTATTTGCAAAATTACTCGATGGAGGTTAAAAAAAATCTGTTTTTCTATTGACATGACAGGGCAAGGAATGGGCAGCAGCGTCCCTTTTGAAACATCTCTAAAGCCTAACTGCGGTTGCCAACCCGCCTGCCAAGCGTGGCAACTACTGGCAAAATTCCCCTTATGGGGAAAGCTTACGTCTAGTGGAGTACAGTTAATGGCTGAAATAATAATAGAAAAAAAAACTGTTGACGTATAATTCACTCAACGAACCATAGAGTTCTTTTTTTTTTGATGAGTGAAAATGGTATGGTAACCCCGCCTGCGCTAACGGGATACGCTGGCGGAGCACCAGTGAAGGGTGATCGATGAGAATGAAAACAAGCCAGTTAGACCATCGTAATGAATTCATCAGGAATTAACCATGATAGTATCCAAGGGGAACCGAGAGAAGGTCGACCTGGTTGGGTATATTTAATTTTATTTTATTTATTTATTTACAAGAAACATGGTAAGTGTATAGATGTTACAATAAGTATAAGTTCTCATATTTCGCCATAATTAGCCATGCAAATGTTAAAACTTAAAAAGAATAAATGTTAAATGAGTCATTAAAGTTCGAAATGTTATATAAAAAAAAAATACATCAAAAATGTCAGACACTTGTCACCAATAAAAAAGAAAGAAATGTCACTGTCAAATCATGGTCACATGTCAAATATTGCTAGCAATGGGATTCTAAGTCTCTATTACTAACAATCTCTTTCCCCCCGAACCATAGAGTTCGTATTTTTTTTTTGTTTTTTTCTTTATTTATTGACGATGTTGTCACTGATTAGGTAATCACCAAATGAACATAGTTTTTATATTTATATATATAAGGATAAACGTTAAAATTTTCCACTATTTGTTATTCTAATGTTTTTTTTTATATATATATAAAAACCTTTAACCTTATAAAAACTAAGGTCAAATTGGTTGATATTAGAATTAATCTATGCACGTATGTATGTGTTTATCTCTAATATATAAAATTCTCGTGTCGCGGTGTTTGTTACCAAACTCCTCCGAAACAGCTTTACCGATTTTTATGAAATTTTGTGTGCATATCGGGTAGGTCTGAGAATCGGCCAACATTTATTTTTCATACCCCTCAAAGATAAGGGTGACCTACTCCCAAATATTTTTTTTTTTTTTTGTAAATGGTATTTATTTTTATTTTATTATGATTTAGCATTGAAAAATACATACAAATTCAAATTTTCACGCTTTCACGATCAACCCCTGTTTTTTAATCGTGATTTTTATATGCCGCAATAGGGTTGCAAGATGGCGATCGAATATAATAATTGTAGTAGGATACATTTTCATGTATAGTTCTCGAAATAATGTATATGGTAAAACAACGTTTGCCGAGTCAGCTAGTATTATTAAGAAATACGAATTAAATATTTAAATTTGAATCTAAATTTTTTTTATACAACTTAGAATGGCAAACAAGCTGACGGCCCACCTGATGGAAAGTGGTAACCGTCGCCTATAGACGTGAGCAGTACCATGGACATAACAGAGTATACTGTTTCACCCATGATACCCCCCGTGCGTTGCCATTCCTGAGGACTCAGGTGTTATTCCTCTGTACCCAGTAAATTCACGCCAAAATACAGTTAGGTAAATTATTTAGATAAGGGGGGGGGGGGTTAGTAATAAAGATTAATAGCATGAATTGTTAGGGTTCCATATTAAACAGGTACAAAGAAACCTTTATGGTGCGACTTTGTCCGTCCGTCTGTTTGTCACAGTAATATACCTCAGTATGATGGTATATGCTAATGCTATTGGAAATTTGGAATAGTTTTACATATCATTGGCCCGCATATATTTCAATGAAATAATTGTTTTTTTTTATTTTCTTTCCTAGAGGGTCCAAAATGGATACTCGAAATTTCAAAATTGACCTATCAATCGTAAGTAGAATATTATATGAAAGGGCTTCACTTGTATATTTTAAAACTGATTTTTAGTTATGATCGAAAATGTGAGAAAATCATTCCCTCCCCCCCTCCCTTATCTTTGAAATTTCTAAAACGAAAAATGTGGAATATTTACATCTACACTAATATTATAAAGAGGAAAGATTTGTACTTTCGTGTATATGTATGTTTGTAGTGAATAAACTCAAAAACTACTTTGCCGATTTCAAAAATTCTCTCACCATTAGAAAGCTACATTCACCCTGAGTAACATAGGCTATATTTATTGCTAGAAAAGATTTGGGATCCTTACTAAAACTTTAGTAACGTAACCTGCTTTCATCGTCACCTATTATCCCTCACTGGTGCTTCGCCATTGCGTCAGCCATACTATACATAATATATATATATATATATATATATATATATATATATATATATATATATATATATATATATATATATATATATATATATATATATATTCTTTGAGATCACTGCCAACTGGTAGGGTACCTAGGAGACTTGGTGCATTTCCACGCTGAATAGCTATGGAAATGCGTTGATTAAAATATAGGCCAGCCTATATACGAGTATATATATTATCGCTTCTTACGACACACACGGGATAGAAAGGGGTGGTCCATTCTATGCTGGGACCACACGTCCATTGAATAATTGATATTACTTACTATTACTGTGTCAAGAGACAAATCATTAATGCACTTTTTCTCTTAAAAAAAATATTATTGTTCGTTATTCGTCATTGAACTTAAAAAGTAAAATTGTGTTTTTGATTTTTGCGCATTGTTTGAGAAAAGTACTATACAAGCCTTGGCCACAACTAGGCATTGATGGACTCACGTATGTGTGCCTCGGCTACGGCTCGGTCCACATTTGCACGTTCGTCCATCAATGCCTCAGTTGCTGGCCGCTGCAGTAATGCACTATTACAGATATTACTTGAAAGACCTGTAGGTATAAACAAATCAGTGGACGTTTTTTCCCCCTTTTATATTTTGTTGGCATTTCTCAGAAGGCCTTCTGGCTTTTTGCCAAATATCAAAGTGCATGAAGAGGATAATCTGACATTAGTCATCTTTTAATAAATAAATACCAATGTCAAAGTATATTTCTGTTTCTAAATATATATTTTACGTTATATATATGTAGGTAGTATGTACATATTTAATTTAACCCTGTTCGCCGCACTATAACTGTCAAATTTCTAGCTTTGACTTGCACGAGACAGGCTTTTCCTTGTGGGGTCATAGTTATATTGTACTACAGGCTAATTTAGTTTAAGTAAATAAAGTTATTATAAAAAAACATAGTTTATTATTATTTACATATGTAAATAAGTGTATTCAGTTACTTTTTATTTCATTTCATTTCATTTGTGCAAGGTGTATAGCATTTTTTTTTATACAACTTAAAATGGCAAACAAGCTGACGGCCCACCTGTGATAGATGAGAATGAAAACAGGCCAATTAGCCCATCATGATGAATTCATCAGGAATTAACCGTGATAGTTTCCAGGGAGAATTGCGAGGAGGTCGACCTGGTTGGGTATATTGCTAGCAATGGGATTCTCGGTCTCTATTACTAACAATCCCTTTCCCCCCATATGTAAGTACATTATATGTATATGTGTATGTGTGTGCAAGTATATGCATAGATGTAGGTATATATTTACGTATATGTATGTGTGTATTAGTACGATTACATATAATGTAATTAATTTAATTTTGTCTGCTTAAAAATTGTCACAATATTGTTCACCGCTCTACCCGCTGACGTTGATGCTCCTTTCCACTTTGGGTGTTGCTGGAAGAGAACTCTGTTAGAGTAGCTTCCAGCAGCAGTATTTCCGAACCGATACGACAACATAACCTTCAAGAAAAGAGCATATACCTTTTTAAAAGGCCGCCAGCACACCTGCAATGCCGTAGGTGTTGTGAGTGACCATGGGTGGCGGCAGTCACTTACCATCAGGTGAGCCGCATGCTCGTTTGCCCCCTGTGTTGTAAAAAAATAAATAAAAAAGCAGTTAAATACCTACCTTGTTGGAAGTAGATATACATGGAAATATGACCAGCTTGAAAGAGAAAAAAAAAGCACTAATATATCACAATAGATAGATAGATAGATAATGTATTTACATTACTTACAGCACACAAATTACAAGAAACAAAAAAAATACATACACATAATACACAGCAAAAGAGATAAAAGAATAAAAATAAAAAAGCACAAATAAAAAAAAATAATACATAAACTAACAATCTCCTTTTTTCCCTTCCTTCATGCGTTCAATAGATTTTGTCTCTTTTATAGTTCAAGTAACGGACAGTTTATTTATAACACAACACACACTAAATATATAAAACACTATATCGCTTTATTATATTAATATATTATTTAATTTGTAAAGACAATTTTGGACAAAAGTCAATATTTTTTTTTTATTGTTATTATTTTAAGGGCTTTTACCTTCTTTCAGGTATAAAAGTCAATTTTTAGAAAACCATACTTGTTGGTAAGGTTACTAGGCAATAATATTTTTCTTTTTCTATTTTCAAATTTTACTAAAGAGTTCTTTTTTTTTTTTTAATATTTTAAGGGCTTTTACCTTCTTCAGGTATATCAGTCCTATTGTACCCTGAACTGATTTCTCCAACAAAATTATTAATACACTAGGTATTCGTAGCGATTCGTTCCGCTACCTCCTTTTAGCCGTGCCAACAATTTATACGTCAATATAATATTAAAACTCTTTTTCGTTTGCATCATTTAGAAACTTTGTGACGTTTGAGTTTTTAGTTTTAACTGACATCTATCTTTCTGTCTTTACAAATCTTATCTATTTTTTTTTTGATGGGTGAAAATGGTATGGTGACCCCGCCTGCGCTAACGGGATACGCTGGCGGGGCACCAGTGAAGGGTGATAGATGAGAATGAAAACAGGCCAGTTAGCCCATCATGATGAATTCATCAGGAATTAATCATGATAGTTTCCAGGGGGAACCGCGGGGAGCTCGACCTGGTTGGGTATATTGCTAGCAATAGGATTCTCAGTCTCCATTACTAACAATCTCTTTCCCCCCAAAAAATCCTATCTATTGTAAAATATTAAATACTGATTAAATGTTATTGTCGATTGCTGTTCATTAGTTGCCTTCTGTCTTTCAACTGCGAGATAAATAGAATCTTTCTGCAAGCAAGGTTAGTGACTGAATGCAATAGATATCTGATGGATATGGAGTTTTACTAGAGACCAATAATGTTATTTCATATTTTACAAGACACAAGTGTTTTTATTTTATTTTTCTATTTAATAGAGCTGTAGGTCTATGGCCGTGTACAACTTCTTTCTTACTATATCCTTAGTCGCTACACCTAATTTGTACCTTAACAAACTCTATTAGAGTTAAGCTCGCCTTTGTACATTTAATTACCTTTGTCATATTCTTATAACTGGTGTATACAGTAAAGAGTTAAATAAAATAAAATAAAATATAAAAAGCATAATATTAAGAAAATTTATTGCATTTATCTACAAGGGAATCGTTTTTATTTTAGAATTTAGATTTTTTTTATTTTTATACTACTAAGGTGGCAAACAAGCACACGGCCCACCTGATGGTAAGCGGTTACCGTAGCCTATGAACGCCTGCAATACCAGAGGTATTACGCGCGCGTTGCCGACCCTGAAGAAACCTCTTTACCCCCCTTTTGAAGAACCCCATGCTGTAGTCTGTTGGGAAAACCTCGGCAGGGAGCTCATTCCATAACATAAGAATATAGAATTTTAAATTATTGTATTATATGTAAAATTTTAACTTGTGTGTTATTACTGAGTTTATCTTTAACTGCATGGTTTTTACTTGAATATTCTACAGTTTTCTTTCAGCTTCTCAAATGTTGACTGTAAAAGATCCTTCTATGGGATAAATTCGCCATTGTATATTATATATATATATATATATATATATATATATATATATATATATATATATATATATATATATATATATAAATCTAATATGTCCAATGTAAAGTGTAAAATAATGATTTTTTAACACAATAGGAGGTAAGGAATTGTTAGTCATAAGGTCTAACAGGCCCATTGCTAGCAATATAACTTATCAGGTCGACCTCCACGCGGTTATTCCTGGTTATCGTCGTGGTTGATTTTTGTGGAATTCGTCACGAGTGGCTAACTGACCTGCCTTTTCATCCTCACCTATCATCCCTCACTGGTGCCATGCCAGCGTATACCGTTAGCGCAGGCGGGGTTACCATTCCATTATCATCCATGAAAAAGCCTCTTATAGGGGAGGCCTATGTTCAGCGGTGGACAGTTAACAGCTGGTATGGTACGGTACTATATTTCATCATTTTATCAGCTTTTTAAATGTCCACTGCTAAATATACCCCCCCCCCTCCGGGGAGTTTCTGCCAATAGTTGCCAAGCTTGGCAGGCGCACTGACTACCGTAGTTATGTTTTACAGTTGTTTTAAGAGGGACGCTGCTGCCCATCCCTCGCCCTCCTTAGTTACCTCTTACGACGGCCACGTGGAAGAAAGATGTGGCCTATTCTATGCCGGGACCACACAGGATAAAATAAATACTTAACATATACTTTAAATACATTTACAAAACATATATACAAATATTAATTTATATATTAATATATATTTTCAGGTATAACACTTATCGTATTAGCAACTGAGCTACCAACGGCGTCGGCGGTGAGAGCGACCTCGCTGATATTCGCCAAGACCACCAGCACCACAGCAGCGCCGGAGGAGCAGCCGGAAGGAACCCAAGATGAGACACAGGTATGTATTTTCTATAAAAAAAAACTTTAGCAACCAAGTTAACGTACAGAAGTTGCTAAGGTAACAATAGTTGCTAAAGTGCCAATACGTGCTAAAGTACAAAAGATACTAAAATAGCTACAGTTGCTAAAGAAGCAAGAATTGCTAAAGTGACAACAGTTGCTAAAGTACAAAAGTTACTTAAATAGCTACAGTTGCTAAAGTACAAAAGTTACTTAAATAGCTACAATTGCTAAAGTAGCAACAGTTGCTAAAGTGACAACAGTTGCTAAAGTACAAAAGTTACTTAAATAGCTACAGTTGCTAAAGTAGCAACAGTTGGTAAAGTGACAACAGTTGCTAAAGTACAAAAGTTACTTAAATAGCTACAGTTGCTAAAGTAGCAACAGTTGGTAAAGTAACAACAATTACGAAAGTTACAGTAGTTGCTATAGTGACATCAGTTGCTAAAGTAGCAACATTTGCTAAAGTGACAACAATTTGTTGTAGTAGCAACAGTCGCTAAAGTGACAACAGTTGCCAATGTAGTAACAATTGCCAAAGTAGTAACAGTTGCTAAAGTAGCTACAGTTGCTAAAGTTGATATGTTAATGATACCTACAAAAAAGAACATAGTAATAAATATATTTAAAAAATCCTATTTAATATTGGAGATGCGAAAGATTGTAACAAGAGATGGATCTATGTTTGTTACTCTTTCACGCAAAAACTGCTGAATGGATTTGAACGAAATTTGGTACACAAGTAGGTTACATCCTGAATAGGCATATAGGATACGTTATGTACTGATCCACACGAGTAAAGCCGCATTTTACAACTATTATGTAAATGTATATACATACAGTATTTTTCTTTTACTATAACGCCCATAAGGACTCGAGAATTCCGCTCCAATATGCCAAGGTGGTAAAAGTAAACGACCTTGATCTCTCAACACACAGACATGACAAAATATTCTTATATTTCCTGATCGTACTACGTATATAAGAATTTACATAAGTGTTTTCCGCTTTTGTTTATTTAAATTACAAATAGTTGTGTATTTATATCTCTCTGTTAATATGTAACAGTTTCGGTTTAAAGGGTGGGATATGGCAGTGAATTTACAGGGTACAGAGGAATAACACCTGAGTCCTCAGGAATGGCAACGCATGGGGGGTATCATGGGCGAAACAGTATACTCTGTTATGTCCATGCTACTGCTCATGTCTATAGGCGTCGGCTATCACTTACCATCAGGTGGGCCGTCAGCTTGTCTGCCATTTTAAGTTGCATAAGCAAAAGAAGAAAGAAAGAAAGGTGCTATGTAATATTTATTTACTTATGTCCTCTCCTACGATTACTAGATAGATACTCTTTCTTATTTTTTTCAAAATATTACAAAAATAAACTTATTATAGATACAAACAATTACAAGATATGATCTTTATCTATTACTTTACTCACCATACCATACCTTAGATTCTGGATGATCGCGTACAGCGCGGTTTCAAAGATGTTTCTTCCCACGAACGCTCAGGTTTTTTTTTTATGGTTTGCGGTACAGTATTTAAGGCATCCCGTCCTCGCTATTGGATACGGGTGGCGGAATGCCTGTACAAGAGGGTACATGGTGGGCGCAGTTTAGACGCAATATTTGAGGAGTATTAGAAAGAAGTAAAGAAAGCCTTCGAACTGGCGACCTCTGCTGTCTACCGGTCCCCAATTCGAGGGACGACCGATCACCGGCTACGCTCAGATTATGGAGTAAGCTCTCTGTCAAGATTTCTCCAAAAGACTACAGCATGGGGTTCTTCAAGAAAGGTGTAAAGTGGTTTCTTCAGGTTCGGCAAAGCGCATGTAATGTCCCTGGTATTGCAGGCGTTCGTAGGCTAAAGTAACCGCTTACTTATTACCTCAGTGGTATAAAAAAAAAAACGTAAAAAGTAAAGTAATTAATTTTATTTCGAGAATATTCTGGCTGTAACTCCTTTAAGAGAGTGTACGTCTAAAGTTTTTTTTTTTTTCTATCTATCTATGTAAACAATGTTTTTTTATTCCAGACCGAAGCAACAGCGGAAGGCGGCGAGGCCCAAAACACAACAAACAAACTCACCGGCATACCCCAAAATGACTATATATACGACCCCAACTTGCCCCGGGAACTGAACGGGTACAATCTATCCGGGTACCCGTTTTATGAAGCCGTTCCACCACCGGAGACCATGGACTTTAAATGCGATGGGTTACACGATGGCTTCTACGCTTCTGTACCCCATAAGTGTCAGGTGTGTATGTCTTGATTTGTTTGTCTAGGAATCGAATTTTCGAAAATAATATTTAGCCTATATTACTCGCTGATTATATAGCTTTCTATAGAAACGTGGAGGTCGGACTTATGGGGCATATTGCTAGTAATAGGACTGATAGTCCGCATTACTAACAATCCCTTCCCCCCAGGGTTGGTATTTAGGCGTGTGTAAAAGTACTTTACTAATATTCTCGTAAGATTTTAAACTGAACAACATGTAAAATTTATTTTACTTTTAACTTAAAACCCATATTTTTGGCTGAGATTTTAAGCTTAGATACATGGTGTGGCGGACTTGTTTGTAAAGCTAAAAGTAATGAATATTTTTGCTATACATTTTATTCCGTTATTTGAAACCGTTCAGGCAACGCACGCCATATTGTAGAATTTTGCCGACTTCAAAATAAATGTAATTTACACTAATATTATAAAGAGCAAAAATTCGTATTTTTGTGTGTATGTATAACTACATACACACAATGTTTGTAATCAATTTACTCAAAAACCACTTTGCCGATTTAAAAAATTCTTTCACCATTAGAAAGCAATATTTGCCCTGAGTTATTTATTGCTAGAAAAGATTAGGCATCCTTACTAAAACTTTAGTAACGTAATTCAAGGTGTAAAAAAATGCTATAAAATATCTTTGGTCGCGTGCGCTGCGGAAACTATTGGTGATAGAACAAAAGTATGTTCTACAATATTGAAGAAAATATCAATAACTACAAAAAACTTCGCGACACTATATGTCCAACTATTATCGTTATATCACAATAATCACTTTTTGAAATGTTGTAAAAATGTCCACCCGTGCGAAGCCGGGACGGGCCGCTAGTCGAATATAAATTTGCAATATATCTTTTGATTAGCGATCTAGTGTTAATATTAACTATTCCAGGTATACCACCACTGCCTCTTCGGCACCAGGTACGACTTCCTGTGCGCCAACTACACAGCCTTCGATCAGAAGACGTTCATCTGCCACTTCGTTTCTGAAGTGGATTGTAAGAACTCACCAAACTATTACAATAGGTGAGAATTTTTTTATGTCTTAGATTATATAGATAGAGCATCGAGCCTCAAAAACGTGTCAACTTTTCGTCATCTAATTGTCAAATTAGCTGACTCGTTGTTTTTATCAGTGTTCTATATACTTACGCACACAATGTATCTTGACTATTGTAGCGCTGGTTTTCAAATATATTTTTTTTTATGCAACGTAGAATGGCAGACAAGCTGACGGCCCACCTGACGGAAAGTGGTAACCGTCGCCTTGAGACAAGAGCAGTACCATGGACATAACAGAGTACACTGTTTCGCCCACGATACCCCCCATGCGTTGCCATTCCTGAGGACTCAGATGTTATTCCTCTGTACCCAGTAAATTCACGCCATATCCCACCCTTCAAACCGAAACACAGCTATGCAAACACAACTGCTTCACGGTTGAAACACAAATGGGACAGAGGTACCCAAGCAATCGACTTTTGTACAAAGTCTCCCTCTGGTGTATATATAAATAAAATTACAATATAATAGACTAAGTCGAATTTATCGGTATCCGTGTACGTTGGACGGCTCCGGCGGACACCGACGTCTGTCAATCGAATCTGACAAGATAGTATTATTATATTCAGTGTGACCTTGTCAAACGGCAGAGGTTTTTTTTAATGGATGATAATGGAATGGTAACCCCACCCGCGCTATCGGTATACACCGGCGGGGAACCAGTGAAGGATGATAGGTGAGAATGAAGTAGGTCAGTTAGCCCATCGTGACGAATTCAACAAGAATTGTTCACGATGGTTTCCAGGGGGAACCACGTGGAGTTCGACCTAATAAGGCATATTGCTAGCAATGGGGCTGTCAGACTCCATTGCTAACAATCCATTTCCCCCCGAATCGACAGTTTGGCAATAGCAATATATTTTATTGGGGGGAAAGGAATTGTTAGTAATAGAGACTGAAAATCCCATTGCTAGCAATATACCCAACCAGGTCGACCTCCTCGCGATTCTCCCTGGAAACTATCATGGTTAATTCCTATTGAATTCATCATGATGGGCTAACTGGCCTGTTTTCATTCTCATCTATCACCCTTCACTGGTGCTCCGCCAGCGTATCCCGTTAGCGCGGGCGGGGTTACCATACCATTTTCACCCATCAAAAAAAAATGTAATATTCTTTATACAGGAACGAGGCCCTCTACAAAGCGGCGTCGGAGGCGCCCCCTCCTCCTCCGTCCACCACCACCACCACGACCACAACCACCGCACGGCCCCCGCGGCCCCCCAGGAGGCGGCCGTACCACAGATACGATTATTACGACGACGATTATTATTATCCAGAGAGAGATGACTATGACTATGACAGGTCAGTAATTTTTTTCTCCATACAAGCATACGGCCTACCCGATGGTAAGCGGTTACCGTAGCCTGTGAACGTCTGCAGTACCAGGGGTAATACGCGCGCGTTGCTAACCCTAAAGAAAACTCTACTCCCCTTTTGAAGAACCCCATGCTGTAGTCTTTTGGGAAAACCTTGGCAGGGAGCTCAATCCATAATCTAAGTGCTCGTGGGTGGAAACATCTTTGAAACCGCGTTGTACGCGACCATTTAGGCTGTAGGATATGAGGGTGGAATCCCTTTCAAATGCGTCCAGGTGATCACGCTATCGCTTCCTGGGCTAGTCTGGATAGAAATCTTTGATCACCTATCAGAGCCGTAACACTACACACACTACACTACTACACTACTACACTACGTGTAAGTTTTATTCAATTAAATTAAATTAAATCATTTATTGCTATTTCATGTTGTAACAATATATGTCTTAAGTTATTAAAGGTAAGGAATCAACATGAACCCTGGAAGGGTGCAGCAATCATATTAATATATATTTCATAAAGTACATTTTTTTTTATACAACTTAGAATGACAAACAAGCTGACGGTCCATCTGATAGAAAGTGGTAACCGTTGCCTATAGACATGAGCAGTACCGTGGACATAACAGAGTATGCTGTTTCGCCCATGATACCCCCCATGCGTTGCCATTCCTGAGGACTCAGGTGTTATTCCTCTGTACCCAGTAAATTCAAATATATTCCAAACAATCCAGGGGCAGAAGACGGCCGCGTCCCCAAAGGCCAGCCAAGAGGAGACCACACGATGACTACGACGATGACAGGTAAGAAATTATACATTACAATTAAGAAGAAACACCAGCTGATATGATGGCGTCATATTATCCATTAGCCCTTTGGATAATGGTCATCCATTTCCCATCCATTCTTTGCATAATGCTGGAAATTTCCATCATAACACTGAATGTCCAAAAATTATATAAAAGAACAAGTTCACTTTAATTATATTAATCATCTGGTTATTTGCATTTTCAAATTGTCAAAATAAGGTTTTTTTTATTAATTTTTTTAATAGGTGATAATGGAATGGTAACTCCACCTGCGCTAACAGTATAAGCTGGCAGGGCACCAGTGAAAGATGATAGGTGAGGTTGAAAAGGCAAATCAGCTAGACCATCGTGCTGAATACCTGGAATTCAGCACGATGGTTTCCAGGGGGGAGCCACATGGAGCTCGACCTGACAGAGCACATTGTAAGCAATGGGACTGGTAATCCACATTACTAAAAATTTTACCCCCATTTTTTATTAATAGGTATCAAACTAATGAAATTTATATTGTACCAAAAACCCGATCTAGCTTTTAACAGATATATAGAAGTTTCTTAAATAATATTCAATGTAACTTTCTATTGGTGAAAGAATTTTTAAAATCGGTTGAGTAGTTTTTGAGTTTATTCATTACAAACAAACAATCGAATCTTCTTTCCCTCCCTCTTATAATATTAGTATACATGACATTATAATGTTTTCAGATACGAACGCCGTCCAAGACCACGTGTAGAACCGCCGGAAGATGATTATGAAGAAAGAAGACCGTATGACAGAAGAAACAAACGGCCTTATGATCAAAGAAGACCGTACGATGACGAAGAAGACAGGCGGCCGGGCTACAGAAATAACAGAAGACCGAGACCAAGAGACGATGAAGAAGAAAGATTCAGAGAAGACGATGATAGACCGAGACCAGGACAACGGGACCAGAAAAGAGAAAGAGATGGCCCAAGATCCAAATTTAGGCCTAGAGATGGCCCCAGAGATGAAGTTAGACCCAGAGATGAGGTCAAAACTCAAGATGAAATAAGACCTAGAGACGAAGTTAGGACAAGAGATGAAAAAAGGACTCGGGACGAGCCCAGACTTGAGAATAGACCACGTGATAATAGTAGACCAAGAGATGAGATAAGACCACGGGATGAAATTAGACCTCGGGATGAAATAAGGCCAAGAGATGAAAGAAGACCTTCGAGAGATGAAAGTGTACAAGAAAAACCACAGGAAAGCTCTAGACCAAGAGACGATCGGTACCAATCTGATGATGGTAGAAGATACAGAGATGAGAGACCATACAGAAATAGAGACGAAAGACCATACACAAAACCTGATAGACCTTATGATGACAGAGAAGAAAAGAGAGAAATTCCATCAGCTCCGGAAACACAAGGACTTGTTAAACCAAATGGTCATGGTATCTTTAGTAAGCCAAGAATGCCTCCTAAGATCAAGCGGCCAGTTCCGGCGAATGAAAAGGAAAAATATGAATATGTTACTATAACAACTACAAAAGCTCCTCCACATAAAGATGATGAAGAATATTATGATGATTATGAAGAAGAAGACAGTAGCAGACCATCTTCTTCTGGAAAAACAAGTACAGTGCAGCAGAGGCCACGACCTGAAGTAGTTGAAAAAGAAAAATTTAAGCCAACTAGACCCCACTTTAGTAGTCCTTCAGCAAACTATAAAGACAGAAGAACTAAACGACCCACAACTGGATACGAGGATGATTATTATTATGATGCTCCATCGAAGACTACCAGACCTAGACCTCATGCGCCTAAGAAAGAACATGCTGCTGATGTAGAAGACTATTATTATGATTACGATGATAAAAAAGACAGTAGAAGACCGGTCAAAGATGAAGAAGTCATACAAGCTAAAGTCAAAGAGGTTAGACCTACAGTGAAAGTGATTAAGCGTCCTTTTTTACCCTCTAGGGGTGGCAGCCCTTATTTGCCACGGGGCCTGCAGCCAGTAGCTGGCAAAGACATCTCTTTACCCCCTCCTACCACCCCTAAACCTACCACTACCACCACTACTACAACGACGACTAGACCTACCACCACTTCTACAACAACAACAACTACGACTACAACAACACAAAGACCAACAACAACAATTACAACAGAACCAACAACAATACAACATAGTGCACCAGACGACGAGTACGAATATTACGACGAGGACGACATAGAATATGAAAATAGAAACAAAAAAGACTCGACCACTGCAGAACCACAGCCTTTAAACATAAAAGAGGTTACAGAGAAGCCAGAATTAAAAACAAATAAACCTGAAACAACAACAATACAGATAACGACTCCAGAGGAAAGAGCAAAGAATTTAGCAACCAAAGTTTTGAGAGTTTACAATGATAATTACGAAGCGATTCGAGGCACGCTCGAGTCTACATTATCTCCTGGTGACTATTTGAAGCCTTATCTATCTCAAAATCAACCAATAAACCAACCAAAATCACCGGCTACCGAGAGTCCTTTCAAGCCAAAAGTCGCACCGAAGCCAGAAGTATCTAAGCCGTATACTGCAACAGGAAAGCCAATAATACCAGAAAATATATCGATAAAACATAATTTGGCTGATTCTATTGAGAACGAGTATGATGTGAGATTAAACGAAGCAATAACACCGAGCTTGCCAAATGTTAATGTTAGAGTCCCGAGCGGTTTCGTACCGTCTGACAGGGATTATACATTTACGAGGTTCAGAAATAATTACCAACCGCCCGATCCGCAGTTCGCTGCTTCGGAATTGTCAAACTATCAAGTCAGAAAGCGTCCCCAAGTGTCTGGAGTCAGTATAAGAACTCCGAACTCTTATTACATCCAACCCCAAAGGGTTGTAGCCTTCGAAGACGGGGTCCAGAGGTACCCCAGACAATTGTTGTACAGGCAACTTGTAGGTAATCTCTTTTAATTGTGATGCTATTGGTAACCTTTGAGAGACGATTGGTTTTTAGAAAACCTTGAAGTATATTTTAATGAACCTCCGAATATACTTTCCGGGTTTTTATTGGAATTGTGCAATTGTTTTAGTCATTCAGAATCGAAATTGTTGTAAATTTAAGTTAAGTTAAAAAACAAGTAGGTTTAAAAGTTAATGGATGTTAGGAAAAATGTATGTTTTAAAGATGTGACATTTTCGATATTTGTACATTGTAATTGTGTTTTTTTTTTTATTATATTTATTGGATGTAAGCTAAGATCTTTATTTTTTTTATTATGTACTTAGTTGTTTAGAGGAAACTAAGTTAGACAATACTGTGAAATAGAGACAAATGTGTAGATGGTAAAGACATTTGTTAATGTAACCTTGATAATTTTTAAAATGCAAATAATTTCTGATTTTTAGGCTGTATGGTTTTGTACCTTTGACCTTCCATGCACAGATATGGATCTTTTAAGTACCCTATCTTATTTATGAAAATGTCATATTTTTAAAATAGTTATAGGGTTAATAATGTTCTTCACTGCCAACAATTATAATATTATTATATTCTCAATTTAATACTCTTAGTTACCTTATGTTTAAGTTGGATTTTTCAAAGGTTACCTTTTAGTGATGGACAGTCGATGAAAATTCTTTTTTTTTTTTTTTTGTTTAATATAAAAAAGAAAAATTTGTAAAATTCATTGACACTTTATTTCCTAAAGTATGTTATTAATATATTATCATATTAAGCCGCGTGGTCCCGGCGTAGAACGGACCACCCTATCCTTTCCTGTGGCTGTCGTAATAGGTGGTCTAAGGGAACTTAATAGTTGAGGAATTGGCAGAAGCGTTCCTCTTAAAACACCACCAAAGTCTAACTGCGGTTGTCACCTGCCAAGCGTGGCAACTATTGGCAAAAAAATATTTGACAATTTTCGAATGAAGTAGATAAAACAAAATTTGTGGCAGATATATATGCTTATTCTATGACTAGCTGTTTCACTCCTATATTAGTTCTTATATATCTTCCATGTACAGACAGCGACCAGTTACGATTTTACTATATACTAGCGGCCCGGTACGTGCTTCGCTACGTATAAAGTAAAATAATAATAAAAAAAAATTACACCAAATTAATTTATTCTGTTTGAATAAAATACTTATCTGTTTGAAGAAAACTGTCAACGCTGAAAAAAGTTTCAATTTGACAGCGCAATCCCTATCTTAAAAAAAAGATTGAATTTGACACAAAAATTCCCATTTGAAACAAAATGATCCGCCATTTATTGAATTCATTTGTTAAAAAACACGTGATAAATGAAGAACCGCTCGAGCGATTTTGTGCAAACTTCACGTAAACCATCTACTAAATAGTCCGAACAAAGCGTAAACATTTGGTTTGGATAGGTGAGCACGTTCTTGAGTTGTAAAATTACAACGAAAAGTGGCATTAATTTATATATATATATTGATTACTGATTAACACTTTGACATCATAGCATTTTCATAGCCATTTCATCACCATACCAGCCTTTAACTGTCCACTGCTGGACATAAGCCCACCCCTAGATGGGTTTTGCCAGTAGTTGCCACGCTTTACAGACGATTTGGCAACCGCAATTAGGCTTTTGAGATGTTTTAAAAGGGACGCTGCTGCCCATCCCTCGCCCTCCCTTAGTGGCCTCTTACGACACCCACGGGAAAGGAAGGGGTGGCCTATTCTACGCCGGGACCACACGGGGAATTTAATTCGTGCTAATAAATAAACAAGTGGAATTTTCTTCGACTGTACAAAATAAACGCTAAAATTGTAAATTGTATAGATATGGAACAATATTTTTATTTTTAATTACACTTAATGATTAGGTAAGATTTTTTTCTAAATACATAAAAGTGAGAAATTAAAATATTGCCTTTTAATTAAAAAAAAACCATAGATTTATTTAAAAGTAATACTTGTTTTTTATTTATTTATTTATTTTTTATTGTACACAGAAAAAATTACAACATATATATATATATATATATATATATATATATATATATATATATATATATATATATATATATATATATATATATATATATATATATATATATATATATATATATATATATATAAAATAAAGATGTACAACAGGCGAGCTACAGAGTTACTGTAAGAGTTCTCTTCCAGCAAACCCTGAGTTTTTATTAAATATCCGTGGATTTTGACAACATTTTTTATGCAGCTAGAAATGAAATGCAAGATGACGGTCCACCTGATGCAAAGTGGTGACCATCGCCCATAGACATCGTGGATGTTACGGAATACCGCTAGTTCCCCTTATAAACTCCTCCTCCCCCCGGAAGAAGAGATTGTCAGCAATTGCTAATTGCTATTGCTAGCAATATGCCTTAGCAGATCAACCTACACATGCCCCTTCTGGAAACCATCGTGCTGAATTCCAGGTGTATTCATCACAATAGGCTAAGGCTGATATGCCTTTTAATTCTTGCTTTACACCCTTCACTGGTGCCTTACCGGATTATACCCATAGCGCAGGCGGGGTTACCATTCAATCATCATACCAGAGGGAGACTTTGTACAAAAGTCGATTGCTTCGGTACCTCAATCCCATTCGGGTTTCAACCGTGAAGCAGTTGTGTTTGCATGACTGTGTTTCGGTTTGAAGGGTGGGATATGGCGTGAATTTACTGGGTACGGAGGAATAACACCTGAGTCCTCAGGAATGGCAACGCATGGGGGGTATCATGGGCGAAACAGTATACTCTGTTATGTCCACGGTACTGCTCATGTCTATAGGCGACGGTTACCTCTTTCCATCAGGTGGGCCGTCAGCTTGTTTGTCATTCTAAGTTGTATAAAAAAATACATTAAAAAAGCCCTTACCCCCTAATATACTTGTATTTTAAAATAAAGAAATTTAGCATTGGTTTCTCTTTCCCAGCAAGGAATTTGACGGGAAAACAAGTAGATCTAAGTAGAGAAACTTTGACGAAATAAATTACAAAAAAATGATATTTTTTATTTCTGATCTCCAAAACCTTACAATAACTTGCACTAAACAACATATTTACTATACAACTAAATACTAATTCGTTATTAAATATATTATCACATTTTCATAATCTAGATGTTTCGAATTGCTCCCTGATAGATCTATACTTCAAACTCCAGGACTTGGTTGAAAACGGTGGAGTCTTCAAGTCAGGATTTGAATTCTGCAAACTCTGTCTTTCTATCACATTACTCTGTACGCCGTTCTTCTGTATACCGTTCTTCTGGGACGCCACTTCTGACACATTCTGCATCTCTTCCAATTCCACGAACGGTTTCCGAGGTTCTGCGCCGTGGATCAGTCTATTTATTGGGAATTGTATCTCGTAGAAGATGTATATGGCGAACCAAATGCAGCATTGGAACACACAGACCTGCCACCAAGTCATAATACCGAAAAGGGGGTACAGCCAACGTCCAGCGAAGAAGAAGATGCAGTAATATCTGTAAACAAAATCGTGCGTTTTATAAACTGCTACAAAAACTGTGTTGCCAATTTAAATATTTTTACGCAATTTCGTGTAAAATTCTCCTATTAGCGAAATTTTGGTGAATTGAGCTTCTTGGAGAAATGTTTGGAGTAAAATATAAAAATAAAGTAAGCTTGGAGAAATTTGGTTATTTTTTTTTTTTTTTTGAAATTTTAAGTAATAGTTTTAATGTTTGTAAACCTGACTACAGAATAAGTATAACATAATCACAGTAAAATATTTGACATTTGGGTAGAAATCAAAATTCTCATCTGGCATCTCTGTACAACGAGATCGAGCTCCCATCAACTACAACATAATCACAGTAAAATGGTTAACGATTGGGTAAAAATCAAAATTCTCATCTGGCATCCCTGTACAAAAATATCGAGATCCCAAGATTAAATTGTACTGTAAATTTCTAAATTTACATATTAATGTTTGGACCATTTTATTGTAACTACTACTTACTACTTGCCACACTAGGGGACACGTAAAACTGTCATATTGTCTAGTGAACTACATCAGAAGCTGTCTTTTATAATGGAGGCTAGTTTGATACCAGAAAACGTACTCACTCTAAGTTTCTTTCATGCAACTTAGAATGACAAACAAGCTGATAGTCAACCAGATGGAAAGTGGTAACCGTCGCCTATAGACATAAACAGCACCATGGGTAACACACGAGACGTAACACCTTGGTCCTTAGGAATAGCAACGCATAAGGAGTACGATGGGTGTGGCATCTATTCTGTGTTCTCCATGGTAGTATAAGCTACTACATGGTCGTATAGGTTACTACTTAATTATCTATCTATCTATCTATCTACTTTCCATCAGGTGAGCCATCAGCTTGTTTTCCATTTTACATTGCAGAAAAAATCCATAAAAAAATACTTACACAGCAGCATAAAGGACCGAGACGCTATTACTGAGGATCAGCTCCAAGGATCTGTTCGTCGCGTGTCTTCGAGGCTGGAGCAGCGTCTCCACCACTACAACCACGCTGATGTTGGTGTGGACGCAGTGGTTGAACCAGGTCGGTATGATGGTGTCGTATACCTTGGGGAAGACCAGCTCGCGATCTATCGCGTACACCGACCAAAACATTCCGGACACGAACTGGAAAAAAATCAAAGGTTATCGTATGCTGGTGATCAGTTATTCATCATCATTATCATTATTTTAGCCAATATCCGTCCATTGCTAGACATAGGCCTCCCCCATAGACCACCATAAGGAATGGTCCTGAGCCACCTGAGGGAGACTTCGTACAAAAGTAGATTGCTTGGATACCTCTGTCCCATTCGTGTTTCTACCGTGAAGCAGTTGTGTTTGCATGGCTGTGTTTCGGTTTGAAGGGTGGGATATGACGTGAATTTATTGGGTACAGAGGAATAACACCTGAGTCCTCAGGAATGGCAACGCATGGGGGGTATCATGGGCGAAACAGTATACTCTGTTATGTCCATGGTACTGCTTATGTCTATAGGCGATGGTTACCACTTTCCATCAGTTGGGCCGTCAGCTTGTTTGCCATTCTAAGTTGTAAAAAAAAAACCTGAAACCACTGATTTCTTGCAATTTTTTTGAGGTCGTCTCTCCATCTAGTAGTGAGTCATCCTACACGTTTGCCCGTACGGGGTTGCCACTCAAGAACCTTTCTTCCCCATCGGTTGTCGGTTCTTCAAGCTATGTAACCAGCCCATTGCCACTTCAGTTGTTACATCAATTGTTACAATTAATAAATAAGTTATAAAAAAAATCCCTAGCGTATGGGGTTCTTAAAAAAGCAACGCACACTTGATACCCCATAGTGTTGCAGGCATCCATAGACAATTAGGGCACATAGGGCATGCCATGTCCACATAGATAAGAAAGGAATTGTTAGTAAAGAGATTTAACAGACCCATTGCTAGCAATACAGGGTAAACCACCACGCGGTACTCTCTGGCAACCATAGTGGTTAATTCTTGTTCAATTGGTCACTGTGGGCCAACTGACCTGCCTTCATTCTCACCTGTCACCCTTCACTAGTGCTCCGCCAGCGTATACCGATAGCGCAGACAGAGTTACCATTCCATCTTCACTCTTTACAAAAAAACATAGATAAATACCCGTCACCGATCACTTTAAACAGTATGTAAATGTTTCTTTCTTTCTTTCGTTCTCTACTTACCAATGTAAATGGAACAACTAGACCGCAGAATACGACATCTCGCCAGTAGCGAACGTTGTTCGCAAATCGACTCTCATGCTTTTCTAACCACTCTAGCATATCGTATATTAGAGCGAGACAGAGAAATACAGTCTGGAAACCCTGGAACAAGGAAAATATATTGTTAAAAAAACTAACTTCATTTCATTTCTATGCGATTTGAGATTGCAAAGCTGTCAGCTGCACGTCAATCCACTGGGATCTTTTGTGCTTTTTTTGTGCCCTATTGCTAGCAATATACTCAATCAGGTCGACCTCCACGCGGTTCCTTCTAGAAACCATCGTGTCTCATTTCTAATACATCATAATAGGTCAAATGACCTACATTCATATTCGCCTATCATCTTCCACTGTTAGCCCGCCAGCATATACGGATACCCGCCAGAATACGGACTACCAGTGCCATTGCTAGCAATATACCCTGTCAGGTCGACATTCACGTAGTCCCCCCTGGAAACCATCGTGCTGACTTCCAGGTGTATTCATCACTATGGGCTAACTAACCTACATACATGGCCATTCCATTGTGATTTATTAAAAAGAACTCCATCTACGCTAACAGTACACGATGGTGGAGTTACCAATGTGGAATAATTAGGTGAGGATGAAAGCACTCTTTCACGTTAAAACCTGCTGAAAGGTTCTGAACGAGATATATACCAGAGGGAGACTTTGTACAAAAGTAGATTGCTTGAGTGCCTCTGTCCCATTCGTGTTTCAACCGTAAAGCAGTTGTGTCTGCATGGCTGTGTTTCAGTTTGAAGGGTGGGATATGGCGTCAATTTACTGGATACAGAGGAATAACACCTGAGTCCTCAGGAATGGCAACGCATGGGGTGTATCATGGGCGAAACAGTATACTCTGTTATGTCCACGGTACTGCTCATGTCTATAGGCGACGGTTACCACTTTCCATCAGGTAGGCCGTCAGCTTGCCATTCTAAATTGTTTAAAAAAAAAGTACCCTAATTTAGCTAGCACATAGGATACTGTATGTACTGTGATTCACGTGGGTAAAACCGCAAGTGTGGTTAATCTAATGCTAACGCTAATGTTAGCAAAACATGTTAGGATCCTACAATGAACATCAAGTATGTCTTTGCACTTACTATGTACACATGTTTGCAAATAAATTTGTCTTTATCTGTAATCCTATGTGACTTCCTCACCAAAGACTGACTGACTTGACTCCATCCTCACCTTTCACCCCTTACTGGTGCCTACCCCGCGCTATCGGTATCCGCTGACAGGGCGCTACTGAGATATAGATTACCATTTCATATTTATTCATTTAATCTCGACAATATATTTTCGTAACCGCTATATAGAGGGTCATCTTATCAAACCCAAACATGTGAGACGCGTGTTGGTGATATAAATATACACACAAGTCGTCAGTCTATCCGTCTGTCTGCACTTTGACCATGTCAATGACACGATATCGTAGTAAGGTATTTCCTTCTGTAAACACTAGATATTTAGGAAAGAAGAGTCAGTTAGAATGGGAGTTAATACGATTCTATATATTTTTTCTCAAACATGCTTGGAAATGTAAGCATTATTTTGACAATTTTCTTAGAGATAAATCCAAATTGCCATACTGGCCAGATACATGCGGGCAACGGCCGGCAAAAGTTGTATGAAAATCCACATCTGTCGTGTTTTGCGGCCAGATAAATTACTATATAAACTCATATCTGTCCTGTAATTTAAAAATGACCTTTTACTTCGAAACATGGCTACCAAGGAGGTAACTAATAAAAGGTTTTATTTAAATTTCGAACTGTCTTGCAAATAGACAGTTGTTTATTGAAAAAAAAAAAACAAAGGAACATTATGGCGCGTGAAAAATTATTATTGTTCGTTCGTTCGTCATTGAACTTAAAAAGTAAAATTGTGTTTTTGATTTCCGCGCATTGTTTGAGAAAAGTACTATACAAGCCTTGGCCACAACTAAGTATTGATGGACTCACGTATGTATGCCTCGGCTACGCGTCGGCCCACATTTGCACGTTCTTCCATCAATGCCTCAGTTGCTGGCCGCTGCAGTAATGTACTATAAATATACTTCAAAAGGGAAAAGATTTTCGATCCGTTTGTATTTTAATAATTATTTTACGCAATTACGTCGACAGGTCTCAATAGATTCTTATAATTTTTCAACCAATTTAAAACAAGCAAAAAGGTTCTCAAGTCTATTGTATTTTTTTTTATGTTGGTTACCTCTAACTTCTACGATGTATAAACTAACTTGGTAAACACTTTTTTAATTTGAAAAGACCAGTTTGAAAGTCCAATCCTACACTTTCAAAGTGATGGAAATTTTATGAAAAACAGTTTAATGGTTTAGTTTTTAAATTTAAATAACCGGATTTGCCATATCTTATTTATCGATTTTCCTACATATGAAATCCACACATACAAAAGTAGCTATAAAGATAGTTATGAAATAAATCTATGTATCAAATTTAAGCTTTTCAGACTTAGGTAGTTCTGTCAATTGGTAATCGGTCAGGACCTAAATCATTGGTCAGAACATATGACTTAATTTATTTATTTTTAATTATTTTTTAGGAAATCTATTTTTTTATGCCACTGAGGTGGCAAACAAGCCTACAGCCCACCTAGTAAGCGATTACCGTAGCCTATGAACGCGTGCAATACCAGAGGTATTACGCGCGCGTTGCCGACTCTAAAGAAACCTCTTTATTAAAAGGTATAATAAATTTATAATTAATTATACATAATAACAGTAAGCTAATTAAAAGCTACATATAGTTAACGAAAATTTAATTACTGATATAATAAAATACAGTCTAGATAATTAATTAGTGTGCAAACACAACCTTGGCAGAGGGAGACTTTGTACAAAAGTCGTTTACTTAGGCACCTCTGTCCCATTCGTGTTTCTACCGTGAAGCAGTTGTGTTTGCATGGCTGTATATCAGTTTGAAAGGTGGGATAAGGTAGTGAATTTGCACGGTAAAGAGGAGTAACACCTAAGTCCTCAGGAATGGCAACGGATAGGGGTATCATGGGCGAAACAGTATACTATGTTATGTCCATGATACTGCTCGTGTCTATAGGCGACGGTTACCACTCTGACGTGGACAGTCAGCTTGTTTGCCATTCTAAGTTGCGTAAAAAAAAGCTTATCACCTAGAACGCGTTTAGGGGTATGCCCGCCATATGTACCATTATTTAAATTAATAAAAAAACAAAAATAAAATAAATACATAAATTAATTATCATCAAGTATTGATTATTTAATCATACCGAGACAATAATATAAAGGAATGCGGACAAGTATTATGAGTTAATTAAGCCAATTATGAGTACACAGACGCTCTCTAGTGACCTGTGTGATAAACAATTAATTGTGTCTAATATCTGCTGTAGCTGTGGCAACAACGAAAAATCTATGCACATACAATTATTGATTCGAGTTTTGTGTCACCAAGCTCGTACGCCGTTTCGAGTTTTTACCCGGTTTCGATTGTAATCGAAAGTGGGTAAAAACTCGAAACCGATAGACATTTTCCTTTTTAAACAATTACGTTGCTTTCCTCTTTAGTTTTAAATATGCGTTCGTGCATCTCAGCCATTATCCGTTCACTGCTGAACATAGGCCTCCCCTATAGACTGCCATAAAAAACGGTCCTGAGCCACCTACATCCACTGACTTCCTGCAATGTATTTAAGGTCGTCACTCCATCTAGTAGAGGGGGGGGGGGGTCGTCTTACCAGCCCATTGTCATTTCAGCTTGCTTATCCTTCAGGCTAGGTTTATTTCATCGTTTAATACCATATAATGTGTGGTCCGGGCATAGAATAGGCCACCCCTTCCGTTAATATGGATGTCATAAGAGCCGACTGAGGGAGGGCGAGGGATGGGCAGCAGCGTCCCTCTTAAAACATCCCCAAAGTCTAACTGCGGTTGCCAATCCGCCTGCCAAGCGTGGCAACTACCGGTAAAACCCCCTCCCTAGGGAGACTTATGTTCAGCAGTGGACAGTTAAAGGCTGATATGATGATGATAGTGTATGAGATGGAGAAAGCCATAGGCTATAGTGACATATCCCAGTAAAGTGGACGAAGTCGCGGGTAAAAGCTAGTAGTGTTTTATACTATTTTTTTTATGCAACTGAGAATGGCAAACAAGCTGACGGCCCACCTGATGAAAAGTGGTAACCGTCGGCTATAGACATGTGCAGTACCATGGACATAACAGATTATACTGTTTCGCCCATGATACCCCCATGCGTTGCCATTCCTGAGGATTCAGTTGTTATTCTTCTGTACCCTGTAAATTCACGCCATATCCCACCTTTCAAACCGAAACACAGCCATGCAAACACAACTGCTTCACGGTAGAAACACGAATGGGACAGAGGTACCCAAGCAAACGACTTTTGTACAAAGTCTCCCTCTGGTAACTAATAAAATATAAATAATGACTATATTTATAAATAGTATAAAAAAGATTAGGTCAATGACTATGTAATATTATCGAATGGAGCAATGAATTATCTCAAATAACTTAACTATACTAACAATTATAATACGATAACTAACCTTAATTAATTACAGACATGATTAAATTCATCATCATCATCAAATCAGCCTTTAACTCTTCACTGCTGAACATAAGCTTCCCCCTTGGCAGGTTTTGCCAATAATTGCCACGCTTGGCAGGCAGATTGGGGTTTTTTTTTTGGGTGCAAATAGAATGTTAACCCCGCCTGCGCTAACGGTATACGCTGGCGGAGCACCAGTGAAGGGTGATAGATGAGAATGAAAACAGGCCAGTTAGCACATCATGATGAATTCATAAGGAATTAACCATGATAGTTTTCGGGGGGAACCACGTGGAGGTCGACCTGGTTGGGTATATTACTAGCAATAGGGCTGTCAAACTCCATTGCTAACAATCCCTTTCCCCCCACGCGGATTGGCTTAGGCTTTGGTGATGTTTTAAGAGAAACGCTGCTGCCCCTCCCTCGCCGTTCTTTTATCGCCTCTTACGACACCCATGGGAAAGGAAGGGGTGGAATATTCTATGCCGGGACCCACACGAGACTATCTATATATCTATCTATCAGTTTGTATTAATCTAATTATATATTTATAATATATTATTATATTAAATATTTATTTTTATATTCCCTCTATTCAACAATGCACCGCCTACTTATTTCTCTGTTCGCCCAATGGTCGACTGGTAGAGAACACCGTCCGGTGTTAAGTCCGCCATATGTACAAAGAATTGTGTGCATTGAAGTTTAAAAAAAAATGACTTACAAAATTCCATCCAGTGAAGTATCCGAAACGGAAAGTGTACAAATCTCTCACTTTGAGGCTGCTATGTGAAATCACGTCAACATTCTTCGCGAATATAGCTATCCAAAAATGGTGAACAATGGATAATATGTGAAAGACAGTTCTCCAATACAGTTTTGCGTCGCTTTTGTCAAATAATTTCTCATTTTCCGTTATCAGGAAACATAATATTTTATAGAAAATATTCGTGTCCCTCCATAAAAAATCCATTTTCAAATTTCAAATTTCGAATTTCCGAAAATTCAATAGTGAAATTTCGAGTACACTAATTAATTTAGACACACAATTTTGTTTATAAAATAGAATTAATTTATTGTAAATTTAATTAAATATTAAATTAATTTTTAATTAAAATTATTATAATTAAATTATATAATAATTAACAGACGGCCATATGGCCGTATATGAATTGAATATGGGCTAACAACTTCATAATATTGTTGATAGATAAAGACAGTAAATAGATTGAATTAAGAGATCAATGTTGCCACAATGAATGTTAAATTCCCTAAAAATATTTAAAAATAAAATCATTCCTATCTGATTTATCTGTCATTTTATTATAATTAACAAAGTAAATGGAATTATCATTTATTTACTTAATATTTTTTATTTATTATTGCCTGCAGTTTACAGATGATCAAATTCCAACACGCTACAGGTAATTAAATTTTTTGTACCGTCGCCTGTAGACATGAGCAGTACCATGGACATAAGAGAGTATACTGTTTCGCCCATGATACCCCCCATGCGTTGCTATTCCTGAGGACTCAGGTGTTATTCCTCTGTACCCAGTAAATTCACGCCATATCCCACCCTTCAAACTGAAACACAGTCACGCAAACACAACTGGTTCACGGTAGAAACACGAATGGGACAGAGCTACCCAAGCAATCGACTTTTGTACAAAGTCTCCCTCTAGGTGAAAAGAGATTGTCAGTAATGGGATATAAGTCGCCCATTGCCAGCAATTCACCCTATTAGGTCGACCTTGACGCGGTTCCCTCTAGAAGCTATCGTGATTAATTCTAGTGGAACTCGTCACGATGGGCTAACTGACCTGCTTTCATCGTCACCAGTCATCTTTCACTGGTGCCCTGCCAGCATATGCCGATAGTGTATGCGGGGTTACCACTGCATTATCACCCATTAAAAAAAATTACTATATATCATAGTATGTATAAGTCAGTTTTTATTTACAAATTTAATCGAAATAATTCAATCTAAATAATATACAGGTGTCTCAAAAAAAGGTGACATTTGTTTTGATTATTGCATGAACGAAACTATTCTGAGTTCCCAAAAAGTGTATTTTAATATATAATAAACATTTTTTTTAATAATATCGATTTTTTAAATGTGAACTTTCTTTTGAGTCACCTTGTATTACCCTAAATTATGGGTAAATAATAAATTTTACTCTTGCAACACTTCTGACACTCCGATGTAGCAATTAATAGGTCAATTCAGGTCACGGGTCTCAATTTACACTTGACTCCAGTAATCGCATATAAATCACGTTCTTTCAAACATATGAATGGCCGTGATGCTTTATTAAATATTTATAATACATAGATATATTTATATACTTATTTAAACTTTAATATACAATTGTATAAATAAGTGTATGGCGGACTTAACATCTAATGGCGTTCTCTACGAATCAACCATGAAACAAGCGGAAAATTAAGTAGGCGGTGCATTCACTACTATATATATACATATATATATATATATATATATATATATATATATATATATATATATATATATATATATATATATATATATATATATATATATATATATATATATATGCTATATTAGTAATAATATTGCTATAAAAATTTGGTATCCTTACTAAAACTTTAGTAACGTAATTCAAGGTGTAAAAAAAATGCTATAAAATATCTTTGGTCGCGTGCGCTGCGGAAACTATTGGTGATAGAACAAAAGTACGTTCTGCAATATTGAAGAAAATATCAATAACTACAAAAAACTTCGCGACACTATATGTCCAACTATTATCGTTATGTCACAATAATCACTTTTTACATTTTAAAAGTTGATTTTTTTTTATACAACATAGGATGGCAAACAAATTGACGGCCCACCTGATGGAAAGCGGTAACTGTTGCCTGTAGACATGAGCAGTACCGTGGATATAACAGAGTATACTGTTTCGCCCATGATACCCCCCATGCGTTGCTACTCCTGAAGACTTAGGTGTTACTCCTCTGTACCCAGTAAATTCACGCCATATCCCACCCTTCGAACCGAAACACAGCCATGCAGACACAACTGCTTCACGGTTGAAACACGAATGGGACAGAGCTACCCAAGCAATCGACTTTTGTACAAAGTCTCCCTCTGATAGAAATACCGACCAAAATTACACCATGTTATTCATACTTCTGTTTAAATCCTTATTCAAATAAATCATATTGTTTTCAAAACTGTTTTAATTTATGTAGATTACTTTTTGAATTGTTCAAATCGGCTATTCCATTCAATAGATATTACGAATTAAATAATTCATAGAAATAGAAAAAATAACGCTGTCGCGTTGTACATGTTATTCGTAGCTATTTTAGCGGTGCTAAAGAGGGGCAGGTGGGGGCGGGCACATCTATGAAATAGGTAGCTAGGTAAGTACAGATAAAAATGTAAAATGTGAAAATGTCCATCCGTGCAAAGTCGGGACAGGTCGCTAGTATAAACTATAATTGTAATAGTATATAATAACTATATAATATAATAGGTAATAAAAATTAACTTGTGATACTTGGTACACATAATTAGAAATGTACCATAAAGTCCATAGGTGCTTAATTAACTGTCACCTTAATTTAAACTCTTGTTTTAATAACCCATTGTTGAGTAAAAATAAAGATTATATATATATATATATATATATCGCATGCTTAATGTAATACTGACTCTTTAGTAGATAGGTCAGAATTGAGTTACTTACAGATGTAGGCTTCTGTTACCACTATCTACCGTCTACCTTTTGAATTATGTTGAAATTACGCATTGTTGCCACCCCTGCAATATATCCGTCTCTTTCACATTTGTGGGATCTCTCTTCGTATTTTCGTCAAACAGAGACTCACGCCAGTTTGTGTCCAGCACTTGTAGAGAGAGGTTATTATAGTTTTATTGAACGAAGACCCAATCATTATTGAGTGTGTTTACGACTAAATTTGAAGTAAGTTTTATCCAATTTTGTAATCTTATATTGACAGATTAAATTTGAGGTCAGTTTAATAGATATTTTACTAATATATTACGTGAAACATTCTGTTTTAAGACAATTTAATATTATACGTTATTATATCTTTTGGGAGCTATTAAGATTTAAGTCAGTTTACTATTAAAACAATCCATTACTTGAGGTAACACTTTGTAGCATTCGAGTATAAGTCTGTTTACCACTGAAAGTTATTTTTACTTAGGGGCCATAATATTAGTTTAGTCTTTGTTTGAAAAAAAGAATGGAATATAATGCGTAACTTTTTGCTTTTCCTGTAAATATTTTATATTAAGTCATTGTTGATCTAAAAACTACTTACAAAAATTTTTTATTGTCCCAGAGGCATAATATGACTATTTATATTTTAGGTTGATAATGTCGCTGAATAGCTCGAAAAAGATAATAGAACTTATTCGGACTCGAAATCCGGCGCCACTATTGGCAACACAAGATAAAGGACACGAATCAGTGCCATCAACAGAAGTGACGGTAACAATTTTAAAGAACTTTAAAAATTAGGTTCGTATATTTCTTATTTATTTTAATATATTACTAAAATACGTTTTATTATTGTAGATGTTAACTGATATAACAAACAATCCCGAAAATCAGCATTACTCAAACGTACAGGAATATTTTGAAGTTTTGGAATCACCTTCAATTAACAATGAAAATGACTTTCATAACATCACAGACATCCACGATTGCACTGATGAAAAACATTCCAAATCTGAAAATAGCGATGTCGATTTGAGCGATCAAGATTCGACATACATTCCAACTAAAAAGAAAAAGCAAATACCAGTATATCCAAGTCGATCAAGATCATCAGGGAGCTCCTCATCTTCTACATGTTCTTCATCCTCATCATCTTCAGGATCTTCGAGTGATAGTTCCGATACAGACTCCAGTAATGAACAAAACAAAATAAAAAATAACATTATTCAGCAATCAGCAAAACAATCGGAGCAAAGAAACATTAATGAACCTACAATAACCGAAGTTGCGAAAAATCAGGAAATCAGACAATATACTACATTACTAGAAGAAAATGAAGGCGAGAAGAAGGGAAGGAAACGTAAACGGAAAGAAGAAAGCTGGAAACAGAATAAAGCTAAAAGTCTGAGAAATGCAGGAAAATCATACATCAATATGAAAAATAAAACAATTAATCCTCGTTCTGTTCAACTACCCTGTGGTATTCAATGTAGACTCAAATGCTGTAAAAAGATAACTGCAGATCAAAGACAAACAATTTTTGATATGTATTGGAATCTCGGCCAGGTTGATGCTCAAAGATCATTCATTATGTCTTGTATGACTAATATAAACCCAAAATATAAATATACAAATGCTAGTAATCCAAGAAATTGCAATAAAGCTTTCCATTTCGTAGTAGAAGGGCAGTCTGTTCGAGTCTGTAAAACGTTTTTTATAAAAACCTTAGATATTTCTGATCGTGTTATACGAACTGTCAGAAGCAAAATAGATGAACATGGAATTCTAGCACAAGATCTGAGAGGACAGCACAACAACCATGCAAGAGTTGATAAACAACTACTAAACGATATTAAAGAGTTTATAGATTCGATACCAAGAATTGAATCCCATTACATTAGGCAATATTCTACTCGTGAGTATATTGATGGCGGGAAAACAATTTCAGATCTTTTCAGAGACTTTAAAGTAGCTCAAAATGAAAATAACAAAGCAGCTGGTAGATATTGTACATTTTATAAAGTATTTACACAAGATTATAATATATCATTTTTTCGTCCCAAAAAAGATCAATGCGATTTATGTTTGCAATATAATAACACGACGCTTCAGCAAAAAGTATTACTTAATGATTTGTACAATGCCCATTTAGAAGAAAAAACATTGAGCCGCCAAGAAAAATATAATGATCGCTGCAAAATAGATGATGGAAATAAAGTTCTTGTGTTTGATCTACAAGCTGTTTTGCAATCTCCTAATTCAGCATTTTATTACAAATCAAAATTTGAAAAAACTTCAAGAAGATTGGGGTGTTAACTAATAAAAGTAAAAACGGGACTACTGTTTTATGGAATGACATAAAGGTGATAATGGTGAAAAAAGATACACCTTTTTCATTTTTCATTAAAACTAAACATAACGT